CCTCCGGGCAGACCCCCCCACTCCCCGCCGTGGACTCGAGGAGTGGGGTGGCGGCCTGGCGGCAAGACAGCTGAGCCTCCAGGGAGGGAGCCGGGGTGTGTTCTTTCTTGGAGAAGTACCCGTGAAACACTCGGCTCTGCCAACTTTAAAATAAAACACGAGCAACAAAATCTCCTTTAAGAACTAGCCATGCAGCGGTGGCACCTGTGTTCACCCGAAGAACCTGGAAAGGCAAGAGGTGCGGGTAAAAGAAAAAGTGAGAATTTTCTAGAGGTAGAAGGAGAAAGAGAAAAGGCAGAGGAAGTAGGAAGAGACCGATCGGTTTGGCCGCGCTGCAGACACTTCTTTTATCTTCTTTTTGTTTGGCAGTGTCATTTTCTTGATTGACTGGGTCACAAAGCCTTTTCAAAATAACAGTCGTAATGCATGCTTGTACTAAGTCAAGCAATGCTTGGATGCATAAAGAGGAAAGTAATAATAGCCTTAAGATGGGAGAGGGGAAGATTATAACCTTCACAGATTGTAACATTTCCGAGAGAGACAGAGCATTGATCCTTCCTCTTCATTTCTGCTTCCTTCCCTTGGCCAGGGGCTTGATTGGATGCCAGACATCATGAATTTCACCCTGTTGTGGACTGGATATTTTTATATTCCTACCAATATTCTTAAACTCTGTACTGGGATGCAGTTAAGTTACTTGGAAACAGTTTGATTCCTTCAGGTTTGCTTTTAATCTTTTTGGGGGGCAGGACTAGAGCAGCCTTTTAGGACTCAGTTTTTCTCCACTGCTGAGACAGCGACCTCCAGACTACCCAGTACTTGTGAATTACAATGCTTACCATTCTGACTTGCGGGGACACAAACTGTTCCTGGCCTTGTGAGAGCTCCGTGGATTGTTCTCTTTGCTCCTTTCAGATGGTCCTTTTTCTGGCCTCAAGAAGGAGGCCCACGGCATTCCTACCCTTGGGTCTCTTGAGACACACCGGTTTCCTTAGAGCAAAATCCCATTTCCAGGCTATAGCGCATTCAAGTTGGATCCTACTACTTGTAGCCAAAGGGTTCTAACTCAGACAGGTCATCTGCAAGGCAAAGGGGAAGAGAGGAGGCAATCAAAGGGGAAAACGGAAGCTCTTTCCTCGATGGAGCAAGTTCCCTGGCAAGGGGGAGAAATAGGCAGCACAAGTAAGCAAAAATAAATTTGGAGACAACAAGGAGGGAAGTTCTTCTAGACATTATTGGTTGTCTCAATAAAATTTACAAATCTTCTGGGGAGCTGGAGACAGCAAGGTGGAATTTGGGTGCTTGTTGAAGATGGAAAAGATAGAGCATGAACACAGTGGGGAACACACCTGGATAGCAGGCAGAGTGGAACAAAAGGATTGGGTGTATGGTCGAGGGCCCAGTTCTGGTCAAAAACCTCAGCTTTCTGGTTGAAACTCTCCAACAATGAATGTTCAACAGTCCAGGTACAGGGGCAGGAAACTGAACTGTGGGATTTATCAGGGTGATTTCCCCGGGGCTGTCACAGCAATCCCAGCAGCACTTCAGCCCTTTCTAATGCCCAAATACATGCTGCGCACACACAAACACACAGAGAGAAAGCCATGCCCACAGCTGCTAGATTCTACCAACCATGGAGTATCTTGAGGCCTCAGGTTCAAGCCAACAAAAGAGCTTTTGAATAAACGAAGCTGAAGGGCACTGTCAAGACTGTGGCTTTCAACCAATTTAGAAATGCTTATCATTTGCTTGACCTTGCCTCTTTTGTGATACCAAGGAACTGAGACCCCAGCTCTGCCTCCTGGCAGAAGTAAGTCTGACAGGGAGTGCGATGGGGCTGGCCCAACACCAAAAATGAGCCATAAATTTCATCTTTTATTTGCTCCTCTTCTTGTATGTCAATGATTCTCAACAAAGATGATACTCCCCTTTGGGGAATATTCTGGAAATAAGGAGACAGTTTTGAGTGTCATGAGGGTAGAGTCTCATACTGGCATTGAGGGATATGGACCGATCTCCTGCAACATGTACAGAAAAATGAACTGTCTGTGACTTTTAAATGTTCTACAGGACATTCATGTAGATGAAAAACCTGTTTATAATTGTCTGTGCCTATAACCTATTCCTGTGTTACAAATAAATACAACGTATTTCTTGAATTTTCCAGGAATGCAACTACCATGTAAATTGAGGGAAGATTGTTCTTTTTTATTTGGAACCTTACCAAGACTTGTTCACTGTTTCAGAAAATCACGTGCTGATGGTAATGTTACTTAAGATTTTATATTTGTGTTGCCAGTACTGCACACTCACTGTGCCAGCCTGCATTTGTACTGTCATTCCACAGTGCCTTGCAGCTGTTGTATGCACAGAATTGGTATAAGTATAATGTCTTTTGGTATGGTGATGCTTGAATATTTACTTAGGGAAATACTGTACATATTTTATTATAAATTATACCATGTATATATATTATAATAAAGGCATGGCATGTATATAATTAATGTATTCATTTGGTAGGTCTGCCATAATAAAGTACTGCAGACCAGGTGGCTTAAATAACAGAAATGTATTTTCTCACAGCTCTGGAGACTGGACGTGTGAGATCAAGATGTTGGCAGGATTGGTCATGAGGGAAGGATTTGTTCTAGACTGTCTCTTTGGCTTATAGATCGCTCTCTTCTCCCTGTGTCTCCAAATCACTCTCTCATTGTACCTGTGTCCAAATTTTCTCTTCTTATAAGGACATCAGTCATATTAAATTTGGAACCACTCTAAAAACTAATTTTACCTTAATTACCTCTTTGAAGACCCTGTCTCCAGATATGGTCACATTCTAAGGTATTGGGGGCTAAAACTTCAACCTATTGGGCCGGGTACAGTGACTCGAGCCTGTAATACCAGCACTTTGGGAGGCCAAGGCGAGAAGATTGCCTGAGCCCAAGGGTTTGCGACCAGCCTGGGCAACTTGGTGAGACCCTATCTCTACAATATATCAAAAAAATTAGCTGGGCGTGGTAGCGTGTACCTGTAGTTTCAGCTACTTGGAAGGCTGAGGCAGAAGGATCGCCGGAGCCCAGCAGGTCGACACTGGGGTGGCTGTGAGCATGCCATTGCACTCCAGCCTGGGCAACAGATTGATACTCTGACTCAAAAACAAAACAAACAAACAACAACAACAACAAAAAAAAACTTCAACCTATTAATTTCTAGGGGGACACATAACTATCAGGTATGTAGACACATCATATTTTTAATATATTTTTTTATTTTAAAATTGTGGAGTACAGTTAAACATTAGGTATACAAATATTCATTGTGCAGGTACCCTTGTTGACCCCCTTTCCCCAAACAGATATTGACTACCATTAATCCCACCTCCTTCCCCTATAGTTTCCTGCCACTGTCAATCTTTTTCTTATAGTATTACAGTAGTTGTTCAAGGTCCACTTATGAGTGAGAACATGTGATACTCAGATCTTTGTTTCTGTGAGAGATCACTCAGTATTATAAACTCTAATTCCACCCAGTTTGCTGCAAAATTCATGATTTTGTTCTTTTTTATGACTGCATAATATTCCATTGTGTATATGTACCACATTTTTAAAATTCAGTCCTCTTTTGATGGATAGCATGGTTGGTTCCATGATCGTGCTATTGTTAACAATGCTGCGATAAACATACGTGTGCAGGTATCTTTTTCATAGAGTGATTTGAGTTCTTCAGGGTATATTCCCAGTAGGGGGATTGTGGGGTCATATGGAAGGTCGCTTTTTAGAGCTTTTAGAAATCGCCACACTGATTTCCACAGAGGCTGTACTAGTTTACACTCCCACCAACAGTGTAGAAGTGTTCCCTTTTCGCCACATCCTCTCCAGCATCTGTTGTTTTTTGAGTTATTGATAATGGCCATTCTGACTGGAGTTAGGTGGTATCTCAGTGTAGTTTTAATTTGCATCTCCCTAATGACTAGTGGTTGAACAT